TGTTTATTCGTCTTTATGTATAAAATTAGGAAAAATGTATAAGATTATACTCGTGTTACCTTTGCCGGAAATTATTAAAAATACATTTTCATTATTATTTTTATTTTCTTTTTTCTTCTCTCTTGTTACTAATTTGCCAACATCCCAAACTTTAATGTATATTTTTATAACAACTTTTTTAACAACTTTCATTGTATTATTATCTTGAAATTATTTTATAATGTTCAAATATTTTTTACTACAAAATACCTTGAAGGTTTTCAAGTTTTTTTAAATTTTTTTTGTTTTCATATAATTCTAACATTTTTTTCCTATCAAAGTCTGCTCATTACAATTCATTTCATATCATTTGTACTTCTTAAATTATTTTTTTTTTAACAAAGATGTTTTTTTGATTTCAATTGTCAGTTACATGTTTGTATTTTTTCTTTTGTTGGTATTAGGTGTTTTTGCTAAAGGAAACATTTTGCTAAATAGCTAAAGGTACAGTTAAGAGTTTACCCTTTGCTCTGGAAAAACAACAAGTAAATCATTATATTATTATAAGTTTATATTCCCAAAACTACTTACGTTGATTTATCTAGTCTATAGTCTAGTCTATAGTCTAGTCTACAGTCTATAGTCTAGTCTATAGTCTAGTCTATAGTCTAGTCTATAGTCTAGTCTATAGTCTAGTCTATAGTCTAGTCTATAGTCTAGTCTATAGTCTAGTATATAGTCTAGTCTATAGTCTAGTCTATAGTCTAGTCTATAGTCTAGTCTATAGTCTAGTCTATAGTCTAGTCTATAGTCTAGTCTATAGTCTAGTCTATAGTCTAGTCTATAGTCTAGTCTATAGTCTAGTCTATAGTCTAGTCTATAGTCTAGTCTATAGTCTAGTCTATAGTCTAGTCTATAGTCTAGTATATAGTATAGTCTATAGTCTAGTCTATAGTCTAGTCTATAGTCTAGTCTATAGTCTAGTCTCTATAGTCTAGTCTATAGTCTAGTCTATAGTCTAGTCTATAGTCTGTCTATAGTCTAGTCTATAGTCTAGTCTATAGTCTAGTCTATAGTCTAGTCTATAGTCTAGTCTATAGTCTAGTCTATAGTCTAGTCTATAGTCTAGTCTATAGTCTAGTCTATAGTAGTCTATAGTCTAGTCTATAGTCTAGTCTATAGTCTAGTCTATAGTCTAGGTCTATAGTCTAGTCTATAGTCTAGTCTATAGTCTAGTCTATAGTCTAGTCTATAGTCTAGTCTATAGTAGTCTATAGTCTAGTCTATAGTCTAGTCTATAGTCAATTCTATAGTCTAGTCTATAGTCTAGTCTATAGTCTAGTCTATAGTCTAGTCTATAGTCTAGTCTATAGTCTAGTCTATAGTCTAGTCTAGTCTAGTCTATAGTCCAGTCTAAAGTCTAGTCTATAGTCTAGCTATAGTCTAGTCTATAGTCTAGTCTATAGTCTAGTCTATAGTCTAGTCTATAGTCTAGTCTATAGTCTAGGCTATAGTCTAGTCTATAGTCTAGTCTATAGTCTAATCTATAGTCTAGTCTATAGTCTAGTCTATAGTCTAGTCTATAGTCTAGTCTATAGTCTAGTCTATAGTCTAGTCTACAGTCTAGTCTATAGTCTAGTCTATAGTCTAGTCTATAGTCTAGTCTATAGTCTAGTCTATAGTCTAGTCTATAGTCTAGTCTAGTCTAGTCTATAGTCTAGTCTATAGTCTAGTCTATAGTCTAGTCTATAGTCTAGTCTATAGTCTAGTCTATAGTCTAGTCTATAGTCTAGTCTATAGTCTAGTCTATAGTCTAGTCTATAGTCTAGTCTATAGTCTAGTCTATAGTCCAGTCTATAGTCTAGTCTATAGTCTATAGTCATATATAGTCTATAGTCTAGTCTATAGTCTAGTCTATAGTCTAGTCTATAGTCTAGTCTATAGTCTAGTCTATAGTCTAGTCTATAGTCTAGTCTATAGTCTAGTCTATAGTCTAGTCTATAGTCTAGTCTATAGTCTAGTCTATAGTCTAGTCTATAGTCTAGTCTATAGTCTAGTCTATAGTCTAGTCTATAGTCTAGTCTATAGTCTAGTCTATAGTCTAGTCTATAGTCTAGTCTATAGTCTAGTCTATAGTCTAGTCTATAGTCTAGTCTATAGTCTATTCTACAGTCTATTCTACAGTCTAGTCTATAGTCTATTCTATAGTCTATTCTATAGTCTATTCTATAGTCTAGTCTATAGTCTAGTCTATAGTCTAGTCTATAGTCTAGTCTATAGTCTAGTCTACAGTCTATTCTACAGTCTAGTCTATAGTCTAGTCTATAGTCTAGTCTATAGTCTATTCTATAGTCTAGTCTATAGTCTAGTCTATAGTCTAGTCTATAGTCTAGTCTATAGTCTAGTCTATAGTCTAGTCTATAGTCTAGTCTATAGTCTAGTCTATAGTCTAGTCTATAGTCTAGTCTATAGTCCAGTCTATAGTCTATTCTATAGTCTAGTCTATAGTCTAGTCTATAGTCTAGTCTATAGTCTAGTCTATAGTCTATAGTCTAGTCTATAGTCTAGTCTATAGTCTAGTCTATAGTCTAGTCTATAGTCTAGTCTATAGTCTAGTCTATAGTCTAGTCTATAGTCTAGTCTAGTCTAGTCTATAGTCTAGTCTATAGTCTAGTCTATAGTCTAGTCTATAGTCTAGTCTATAGTCTAGTCTATAGTCTAGTCTATAGTCTAGTCTATAGTCTAGTCTATAGTCTAGTCTATAGTCTAGTCTATAGTCTAGTCTATAGTCTAGTCTATAGTCTAGTCTATAGTCTAGTCTATAGTCTAGTCTATAGTCTAGTCTATAGTCTAGTCTATAGTCTAGTCTATAGTCTAGTCTATAGTCTAGTCTATAGTCTAGTCTATAGTCTAGTCTATAGTCTAGTCTATAGTCTAGTCTATGGTCTAGTCTATAGTCTAGTCTATAGTCTAGTCTATAGTCTAGTCTATAGTCTAGTCTATAGTCTAGTCTATAGTCTAGTCTATAGTCTAGTCTATAGTCTAGTCTATAGTCTAGTCTATAGTCTAGTCTATAGTCTAGTCTATAGTCTTGTCTATAGTCTAGTCTATAGTCTAGTCTATAGTCTAGTCTATAGTCTAGTCTATAGTCTAGTCTATAGTCTAGTCTATAGTCTAGTCTATAGTCTAGTCTATAGTCTAGTCTATAGTCTAGTCTATAGTCTAGTCTATAGTCTAGTCTATAGTCTAGTCTATAGTCTAGTCTATAGTCTAGTCTATAGTCTAGTCTATAGTCTAGTCTATAGTCTAGTCTATAGTCTAGTCTATAGTCTAGTCTATAGTCTAGTCTATAGTCTAGTCTATAGTCTAGTCTATAGTCTAGTCTATAGTCTAGTCTATAGTTAAGTCTATAGTCTAGTCTATAGTCTAGTCTATAGTCTAGTCTATAGTCTAGTCTATAGTCTAGTCTATAGTCTAGTCTATAGTCTAGTCTATAGTCTAGTCTATAGTCTAGTCTATAGTCGAGTCTATAGTCTAGTCTATAGTCTAGTCTATAGTCTAGTCTATAGTCTAGTCTATAGTAGTCTTTAGTCTAGTCTATAGTCTAGTCTTTAGTCTAGTCTATAGTCTAGTCTTTAGTCTAGTCTATAGTCTAGTCTATAGTCTAGTCTATAGTCTAGTCTGTAATCTAGTCTATAGTCTAGTCTATAGTCTAGTCTATAGTCTAGTCTATAGTCTAGTCTATAGTCTAGTCTATAGTCTAGTCTAGTCTAGTCTATAGTCTAGTCTATAGTCTAGTCTATAGTCTAGTCTATAGTCTAGTCTATAGTCTAGTCTAGTTATAGTCTAGTCTAGTCTAGTCTAGTCTAGTCTATAGTCTAGTCTATAGTCTAGTCTAGTCTATAGTCTAGTCTATAGTCTAGTCTATAGTCTAGTCTATAGTCTAGTCTATAGTCTAGTCTAGTCTAGTCTATAGTCTAGTCTAGTCTAGTCTAGTCTATAGTCTAGTCTATAGTCTAGTCTAGTCTATAGTCTAGTCTATAGTCTAGTCTATAGTCTAGTCTATAGTCTAGTCTATAGTCTAGTCTATAGTCTAGTCTATAGTCTAGTCTATAGTCTAGTCTATAGTCTAGTCTATAGTCTAGTCTATAGTCTAGTCTATAGTCTAGTCTATAGTCTAGTCTATAGTCTAGTCTATAGTCTAGTCTATAGTCTAGTCTATAGTCTAGTCTATAGTCTAGTCTATAGTCTAGTCTATAGTCTAGTCTATAGTCTAGTCTATAGTCTAGTCTATAGTCTAGTCTATAGTCTAGTCTATAGTCTAGTCTATAGTCTAGTTTATAGTCTAGTCTATAGTCTAGTTTATAGTCTAGTCTATAGTCTAGTCTATAGTCTAGTCTATAGTCTAGTCTATAGTCTATATAGCCTAGTCTATTGTCTAGTCTGATATTACTTAGCATGATTGTGTGGGTAATACTCCACCTCTACCCTAAAGTTATTTGGTCCACTGTAAACACATACAATTTGTGTTATAGACAACTTTCGTATCATGTGAATCAATTTTAATTAAGATAAGAATATAATGTTTGTTGTCAAATGAAAAGTTATAATATGAGGAATACATGAAAGAGAATATCTTTGTACTTACATTTGTAGTTGTTTACATTCAAGAATAAATGATAAATTATTTTAAAATGAATATGATATATGACTTCTTCTATTACTTTGTTACATTTTAATATATTTAGGAGTATTTGGTAGGTGATTGAGAAATTTTAATTAGAAAATTGTATAAACGGCATAAATTCATATAAAATGTATCCCTAATCATTTGTTTTAGGCTTAACTGCTTCTGAGAAAATTCAGAAAATTAATTAAATTTTATGCAAAAATCTCAAATTATAATATGTGACTTATTTAAGTGCAAGAATGAATAAAATTTTTGTTTAATAATTTTTTTATCAAAAATTGTTGAATACTCTGAAAAATAACTTTTTTTCTTTCAGGCTACTACTTCCGTATTTATGTTGAGGAACAGTTGCAGACCTCAATAGTTCAAAAAATATTACAATTTACAGGTAATTATAATTCCAAACATAAAATCAATTTAGCTCTTCTTCTTAAGTATATATTATTTAACAAGCGATAAGACTTTACAAAGACAATAGGAATGTCTTAATGGGCCTATTTTTATAAAATTTTAAAATAATTCCCTTATGCTAATATTTCTCCTATTATCATCAATTCCCTTTAGTGAGTATAAACGTTTAATTTCTTGGAATGGATTTTATATGGGGCTTTTAACTACAAGCTTTTTTAACGGAGCTTTTTTTAAAAAAATTTCGTTCTGATATCGTTATATGGATTTATTTAATCTTCGGAAGTGAACTTTATACTAGGGTTTTGGTAATTCATGCACCAATTGTCTAATTTTAAGCCGATATCGTTATTTGTTAATGAAAATAATCACACCAGAAGTTATTGAAACCTGACGATTTAAACGATATTCCCAAAAGGTGCCTATAAGTACAGGAACAAGTAAATGTTTATCTTACAAGGAAACTACAACAAAATATTGCTAATGGATTATATGCATTTATTTGATTTGAATTGTGGATCGATCGTCAAACTTTTATTTTGTTTATCTAGTTAGTTAGTAGTTAGTTAGTTAGTTAGTTAGTTAGTAGTTAGTTAGTTAGTTAGTTAGTTAGTTAGTAGTTAGTTAGTTAGTTAGTTAGTTAGTTAGTTAGTTAGTTAGTTAGTTAGTTAGTTAGTTAGTTAGTTAGTTAGTTAGTTAGTTAGTTAGTTAGTTAGTTAGTTAGTTAGTTAGTTAGTTAGTTAGTTAGTTAGTTAGTTAGTTAGTTAGTTAGTTAGTTAGTTAGTTAGTTAGTTAGTTAGTTAGTTAGTTAGTTAGTAGTTAGTTAGTTAGTTAGTTAGTTAGTTAGTTAGTTAGTTAGTTAGTTAGTTAGTTAGTTAGTTAGTAGTTAGTTAGTTAGTTAGTTAGTTAGTTAGTTAGTAGTTAGTTAGTTAGTTAGTTAGTAGTTAGTTAGTAGTGTTAGTTAGTTAGTTAGTTAGTTAGTTAGTTAGTTAGTTAGTTAGTTAGTTAGTTAGTTAGTTAGTTAGTTAGTTAGTTAGTTAGTTAGTTAGTTAGTTAGTTAGTAGTTAGTTAGTTAGTTAGTTAGTTAGTTAGTTAGTTAGTTAGTTAGTTAGTTAGTTAGTTAGTTAGTTAGTTAGTTAGTTAGTTAGTTAGTTAGTTAGTTAGTTAGTTAGTTAGTTAGTTAGTTAGTTAGTTAGTTAGTTAGTTAGTTAGTTAGTTAGTTAGTTAGTTAGTTAGTAGTTAGTTAGTTAGTTAGTTAGTTAGTTAGTTAGTTAGTTAGTTAGTTAGTTAGTTAGTTAGTTAGTTAGTTAGTTAGTAGTTAGTTAGTTAGTTAGTTAGTTAGTTAGTTAGTTAGTTAGTTAGTTAGTTAGTTAGTTAGTTAGTTAGTTAGTTAGTTAGTTAGTTAGTTAGTTAGTTAGTTAGTTAGTTAGTAGTTAGTTAGTTAGTTAGTTAGTTAGTTAGTTAGTTAGTTAGTTAGTTAGTTAGTTAGTTAGTTAGTAGTTAGTTAGTTAGTTAGTTAGTTAGTTAGTTAGTTAGTTAGTTAGTTAGTTAGTTAGTTAGTTAGTTAGTTAGTTAGTTAGTTAGTTAGTTAGTTAGTTAGTTAGTTAGTTAGTTAGTTAGTTAGTTAGTTAGTTAGTAGTTAGTTAGTTAGTTAGTTAGTTAGTTAGTTAGTTAGTTAGTTAGTTAGTTAGTTAGTTAGTTAGTTAGTTAGTTAGTTAGTAGTTAGTTAGTTAGTTAGTTAGTTAGTTAGTTAGTTAGTTAGTAGTTAGTTAGTTAGTTAGTTAGTTAGTTAGTTAGTTAGTTAGTTAGTTAGTTAGTAGTTAGTTAGTTAGTAGTTAGTTAGTTAGTAGTTAGTTAGTTAGTTAGTTAGTTAGTTAGTTAGTTAGTTAGTAGTTAGTTAGTTAGTTAGTTAGTTAGTTAGTTAGTTAGTTAGTTAGTTAGTTAGTTAGTTAGTTAGTTAGTTAGTTAGTTAGTTAGTTAGTTAGTTAGTTAGTTAGTAGTTTAGTTAGTTAGTTAGTTAGTTAGTTAGTTAGTTAGTTAGTTAGTTAGTTAGTTAGTTAGTTAGTTAGTTAGTTAGTTAGTTAGTTAGTTAGTTAGTTAGTTAGTTAGTTAGTTAGTTAGTAGTTAGTTAGTTAGTTAGTTAGTTAGTTAGTTAGTTAGTTAGTTAGTTAGTTAGTAGTTAGTTAGTAGTTAGTAGTAGTTAGTTAGTAGTTAGTTAGTTAGTTAGTTAGTTAGTTAGTTAGTTAGTTAGTTAGTTAGTTAGTTAGTTAGTTAGTTAACAACAACTGTAAGGTGTGTGATAACTAATGAAGCAAATTTTAAATAAAGTACTCGTCGTTTGTGGTGAATCATTTTGTAAATTTTTTCTTTTAAATTATTTATAATGTTTAATATCTATTGAATATCAAGTGTAATGAATAAATTAACCTGAAATCTATGAAACGAAAAACGTACTTATTTGTAGATTTACAATTCAATTGTTTACGCCTGAAGTAATTTGTTCACATGTCTACATTATCGTGCATACAAGAATGAACTTCATATTGAAATATTTGCTATATATGGATGTTTGTAAATAAGTTTTTCTTTCTTTTTTGTTGCTATTTTCCAGTTTATGTAATTTAAAACTTAATTTGTAACAAATATTCGTTATTAAATATTGAATTTTAAATTTCTATTAAATAAGTGAAAATTATATGTAAGAAAGTTAAATTTTATAGTAATTACGTAATTTACAAATAGATGAACTTTAATTACTTGAGGGAGTTTTAGGGGCTGAAAAATTTATGAAAAATTCAATTTAAATATTTAAACTTCTATAGTTTTGCATTAAACACAAATTCATTTAATATCAATACTATAAAAATATCTGTCTCATCGTGTGGAAATAACATAAATACTACCATTTTATATGCTCCAATATGTTATTTTCTTGTTATTGTTGTTGGTCTGGTTACATATTGGTTGCATGTGTGCATTTTCTTTTCGGGTGACAACTACAAATATCTTTATAAATATTTGTTATTTTACATTTTTTGTAGATTTCATTTTTTGCCAATTTCAATTTTCTATTGTGCAATTTGTTTTTTACAAGACATGAAACATGAACAAAAAATATAAATGTTTTGTTAGTTTGGTAAATGAATTTTAGGACATATGCATATATTAAGGGTATTCACAGAATGGTATGGTGTTGGGAAATCAATGCATAATAGTTTTAAGAGAAAGTAAATATTCCCAGGACAGCTATGATCGATTATGAGAGTAAAAGTATTTTTTCCGAATATGAACCGAACGTGATCACTTCAAAGCTATATAAGTTTATATAGAATTATGCAACTTTACTAACATAGATTAAATATCATCTGAAAAACAGCACACTAGTACAAACATATGTATGTATATTGTTTTTGTGTTCAGTACAGGTAAGAATATAACTTCTGGAAAATATACTACAAATTCTAAACTGCACATCTTTTTTCTTTAATCTTTGAAATATTTATTTGTATTCTAAGAAAGTTTTATTTTTATTATAAATTTACAAACAAGTTCATGTATTTTTTTCCTACAACAAAAACTAAGGAAATGGAAGCGGCGAAATGACTCACATTTCCACATTTCTACTAGTTTGTTTTTTATTCTCTGCTTCCAACTAGTACAGTGGGTGTTGTGTTGTCAATGAAGTGTAAAGTTTATACTGTCACACTTTGCAATATATTTCTTCCACTAAATTGCCAAAAAAAAAAAAAAATCGAAGAAAAAAACTTTTTCTTCATCTCAAAAGTTTTTTCTCGTAAAATTTATTTCAATTATTTGTATTGTGGTCTTAATGTCTGGTTTGTTGGCTACATACAAAAATGTCATGTAAGTAATGAATGTAAATGAATAAAATTTTACCTATACATACGTACATAGGTACTTGAAGACATCATGTGTCTGTGCATATTTATTTAAAGGTTTTACATTGTACAATTTGTTTTCATAAAATATTTGGAAATGGTTGAATTTGTGGAAATTTGTATTCAAACTCAGACTATGTGTGTTTGTATGTCACAATATTTGTGATGTTGGTAAAGACGACTAAAGTCAAGAAAGGTTAATTAAATTATTGCTTGGAAGTTGTAGGTGACAGAAGTTGTTTTTTAAGAAGACAGAGTTATAAGAAACACAGCATAGGATTATTGTATGTATTCTGGTATTCTGGTTCCTAACTAACTAACTAACTAACTAACTAACTAACTAACTAACTAACTAACTAACTAACTAACTAACTAACTAACTAACTAACTAACTAACTAACTAACTAACTAACTAACTAACTAACTAACTAACTAACTAACTAACTAACTAACTAACTAACTAACTAACTAACTAACTAACTAACTAACTAGGTAGGTAGGTAGGTAGGTTGATAGGAGGATGTATACTACATCAAATCCGAAGAAATACACCTAGGCCACTATCGGGCCTGTTGTGCGCTCCAATTCAAGAAAAAAAAAAAAAAAAAAAAAAAAAAAAAAAAAAAAAAAAATGTTCACTGAATGTATTATTTTTCCATGTTCAGAAACTCAGTTTCCTGGACGTAATTCCTAAGAATCTTCCAATCGGTGTTGGTTAAGAATGTTATTTCTGGAATAACATCACTTCCAAGATACTTGGATCTAACTTCGACGAATGCCTGACAATGGCAAAGAAAGTGCTCCAGAGTTTCACTGTCCTCTCCACATGCTCTACATTCGTCTGAATTCGCACGTCCAATTTTGTATAGATGTGCTCGTAATCCTGTGTGTCCACTGAGAATACGTACCATCATACTAACCTCAGACTTGCTCATTTTGAGAAGATTTCTCGTCTTGCTCTCATCAGGGTCACCCCATAGAATCTTTGTGGTTCTACCCACCGTTTCATTATTCCAAGAGGCCTTATGGGATTCTCTCATCCATATTTTTAATTCAGCTTTTGTTGCGTCGAATGGTTTTG